TCTTTAATTATCTCTGCCACAGCATCAGCACAAATGTCTTTTAAATTTTCTTTACTATTTTCCTTCAGGCCTCTCAATCTCAGAGCAAACTCCATAGATCTATATTTTAACATTACCAATTCATCATCCACTTTCTCTGTTCTGGTCATGACATCTCCCATTTTCCTTTCCAAATTTAAGTTGGCTTCATTAATTTCTTCAACTTTCCCATCAAGCTGGATAACAAGGTTTGAGAGTCCTGTTACAGCAAAAACAATATCCTCTCTTATTTTATCGTGTTCATCTGCAACTGCTTCCTTGATCGAGCTTATATCCTCCTCAATTTTCTTAAATTTCCCTTCAACAAGTAGTGTTAAATTATTCATTGCTTCACTCATTGCTGTTGCTTGATTATTCATGGCTTCTTTCATAACTTCCTTAAAATCATTAAGTGCTGCATCTTGACTCTGGGTCTGGCTCTGTGAATCAGCTGGAAATTGTGCTTTCTGTGTCACCACTGACACAACTGGAGAACCTCCCCCTCCTTTAACAACTCCTGGTTTCACTTGTCTAGAAGCCATTTTTTTTCCTTTCACCCCCCTCTTTTCTTTAAAAGCCACAAAATCTTTCAAGATGTTTATAATTTATAGTCTCTAATTTGCCAGGCAGAGTACGTTTTTCTTTCTCTTTCCTCCACAAACTCTCAGTTCCCAGCAGTTAATAGGCAGTTAATCCACTCTCCCAGCGCAAATTCTCAAGCACTTTTGTTTCTGGCTTTCACTTTCAAAACCATAACAAAGACGCCATCTTCCACCTCCAGCTTAAGATACAAATTGAAACAAAGTAACTTCGGAGTTAAGCTCTGTACTTTTAAGGCTTGTTCTCCTGTTTTCCGCTCTGCCTGCGCTTGAAGTCAATCAAACTCACTTTTAAAAGCAGGATTGGATTGCGGCTTCTCGCTCTGCTTTTGCAGAGTCGTCCTGGCTCCGGAGCTTCATGGCGGGCTGGCTGAGAAATGTTCCAGCGGGCTTTTGGAGAGCTCTACTCTCACCCACCGGCTCTCCTCTCCTTTTCCCAAAGGAGAGTTTTTCAGCCGCTAGACAGCCGATTTGCGCTGTCAAAGCGGCTTTTATGGAGACACAGAGCTGGCGGTCATAAATGACCATCCATGGAGCCTGTGGTGCCAACCGGAAGTCGAAGTTAAAGACATTCTTGATTCCAGAAACATAGAGGTAGGGTCCAATATCTAATTTCTTGGAAATATTTTCCCCCTGCGCAGTCTGAATGGGTGGATGTTAAACATGTCTGGGTATCTAAACTTCTCCAGACTTTCCATAGAAAATACCCAACAAACCCTGAAGGGATAGCCGATATGGGGTGATGTAATATATGTTGTAATTGTAAATTGTGTATGGCAAACGCTTCTGTTATGGGGAGCCAAATGTCAACTAGCTTGATGCTTCCTGCCATAAAATAACAGGGTGGAGAACTGTGGAGAATTTACATCGCAGTTTTGCAACTGTGGTTAGCTTCAAGGCCACACTGTCAGTTGGCTCTAGTGTGTAGTGGTCTCCGGTTGCCTAGCTACAAGGTGGCTGGGCTGTATACTGTATCTTTATCCATGCTGATTCCCGCTCTGGTGCCTCAGAGCTTGCTTGAAACTGTTTGCATTCAGTTTGTTCCTAGTAAAAGTACTTTTCTCTAAATCTATGAAGCCAAGGATTTTTCTTTCCTTGGAATTGAACTGAGGCAGCTTTGACACACCTTCCCAATTGTCCAAATTTTAAAGTCTTATTTGTCTTTTCTTCTTTTTCTCTCCCACTCCCCCCTTTCTATCACTTTTCTTCTTTTGCCACCTAGGATGATCTATCAATTGATGTTAGTGAATCAGATCCAGCTTGACCCACCAAGTTTCCTCAAATCTTTCAAATCCATCTTTCAATGAACAGTTTCAATGAAGTTTTGGTGTTTATAGTTCAGTTTTCCTTAAAAATCTTCAAACAGCTCAGTAAAGTTTAGTTTAAGAAAAGGGATGTTTAAGTGATATATTTAGGGGAGTGGAGGAAATGGATAGAGTTGAATAAATGTTAAATTAGGATTTATGGGGAAGGCTGCTTTGAAATGTTATATTAATATACACAAAAGATCAAATGTTAAAGTAGGATTTATTATATAGCTTTAAAGTGGAAGGTTGTTTTGAAATGTTGTATTAATATACAGATATAAGTATGGGGGAGGAGAAAAAGGGCAGATTATTGCTAAATTGGGAGTTATAATAATATTATTATGCTAAATTAGAAGTTATTATACAATGTTATAGTAGAATGTTATTTTGAAATGTATGGTAAAAGGGGGAAGTAATAATATTAATAATATTATTAGCAAGTAAGGGTCAGTATTTAGAGGAGGGAGTAAGGGGATGGTAAAATATTATATAATCTGTTATGAATTAGGTTTATGTTGTGAAGAAGTCACAGGGAGGGATGGGTGGTGAGGGGGGGTTAGGGAGGAGGGGGGGAGAAAAATGGGGGGAAAATTTGTATTTGAAAACTTTTTCAATTAAAAAAAAAAAGTAACCTCACAATGATAGGTGGAAACGGGCTGTTAGGCAGCTATCTCCCTGTTGTTATACATATATAACACTTTGTTCCAGGCAGGGGAATTACATTACAATTTTTTGCCCATCCTTCTATTCTGAGCCATCCTAACATTTGTGGGGCTCACATCTAACATTCAATGTGGACATATTTATTAATTAGATTAGTTCACTGGTTTAAAAAACATTCTTACAGGTTGTTTATCAATGGATTTTAACTGAATTTGAATGCAGTATCAAATATGGAATCAGAGGATTTATTTCTTGGCCTAATATTTTGAGTTGGGTAAGGAAGTGGAAGGAATGGATATCAAGGAGCAGATGAACAGTATAACTAATTCTATGGAGGACAGAAAGAAAATCTTCATTTGATTAATTTAATCTACTATAAATTTTTAAAAGTGAACCAAAGTAAGAGAATGAAATTTTACAGAGAAAAATAAAAATTCTTAATTAAGAGAATGCAGAAATACAGGAGAATACCTGCATATGTGAAAAACCTTTTGGAGTTGTAATTTATTGTAAGATGAATATGAGTCATAACATACTGTAGCTGTGAAGACAAATGTAGTTTTAGGCACCATTAAAATAAATATGATTTCCAAATTATGGAAGCAATAATTCTACACTATTTTTCATTAATTAGATTATCTCAAATACTGTGGCCACTTCTAAGGATTTCATATTGAGAGGGATTAAGATAATCTGAATACAAAAAAGGTAATGAAGATCATTAGTAAACTGGAAAATAAAGGTGCACACATTATTACTTACAATCTCAGTTCCTCAAAATCAGATTAAAACTGAACTACAATCATCTTCATTCCTATCAATCTGGAAATATGAGCCAAACAATGTTCTATTGAGCTAACCAATAGGAAAATGCAAAGGATATCATTTAGTTAGTGCTCCACCCCAATCTACTAATTTTGAAGCAGCAAAAACAAAGAGAAGTAAAAAAGATTAGTACCTGCCCTTCCAGTTCTCATTTCTGATACATTATGTGCATTTGTTTGCTTTGTAAAAACAAAAACAACCCCCCCCAGTGGTAGTTAAAAAAGGAAGATATCTTTCACAAACATCTATTCCTCTTGCATTTAAAATATCTTGCAAACTATGAAAGTAAGAAGATAGTGTGTCAGCAATTTTGCAAATAGTTGCTATGAGAATATTTAGGAAACTGAATATTGAGATGAAACTTGAGATGAGATACCTCAGGGGTGTCAAACTCAATTTCACTGAAGGCCACATCAGGGTTGTGTTTGATTTTGGGGGGCCAGGGTGGGCATGGCCAGTTCGACACCACTTGTGTCGGAGGGGGGGAGGCTGTGGTGGCCCAAGCGTTCTGCCAGCGAAACAGGCTCCCGAGCTCCGTTTTTGGCTGCAACAGCATCCTGCAACCCTCTGCCAACAAAAATGTCTGAACTCCGTTTTTGCTGGCAGAGGCACTGCGGGGCGGTCCTTTGCTATTTCCAGGGCGACCGCGTGGCCAGATCTAAGCACCCAGGCCTTGAGTTTGACACCCCTGAGATACCTGTTCAATTCAATGATGTATTTCAGCGTGCAGGACACAGAATGATGGTCTTCAAGTACAAGTGACACTGTTACCTAGAAGTCTAAGGAGTCTTCTCATGAATTGGTTGAAAACTACTAACATTGAGCTGGCAGAAAATTACATTGGCATAATATTCATTACTCCACTGTCAATCCCTATCTTTTCACAGCATAAACCAAGAAAAGGTATTATTATTCTTTGCTCTGTGCAGGGCATATTAAGGACAGAGATTGGTGAATTTCTTTGCCTTTGTTTCACTTTCCTCATATTAAACTCACCAGCCAGCTGGAAAATATTCCCCATCTCACTGTCCTCCGCATGGGATGGAGCTGGTGTGTGTGTGTGTGTGTGTGTGTGTTGTCAGGAGGAGGGGATGGAAAAATAACACTTTGCAGGAGCTGTGTTAGGTGGAAGTGGAAAAAGACCCCAAGACTTGTTCTGTTTCATTCTGTTTGGTAGGATGTACAATAATGTATTTTAAGTTATAGAACAATAGATTGTGATTGAACATTGGTTGGATGTGCTTATGAAGGTGATCATAAAATCACAGAATCATTGGGCTGGAAGGGACTGCAGAGATCTTCTGTCCAACTGCCTGTTCAAGGCAGGAGTCTTATGCCATCCCAGTCAAATGGTTGTCCAGTCCATTTTTGAAAACCTCCAGTGTCTGGAAACATTGGAGTCTGGACAATCATCTATCAGGGACACTTCAATTTGGATGCTTACGCTGAATTCAGTGGCTTAAAGGACCCATTTTTAACTCAATACAATCTGTTTTTCTAAATAATACAACAAAAGTAGCAATCCAATTCAACTAATTTTATTTCTGTGGATAATTTCAACCCATTTCAGAATCATGTTTATGTTTTATCAGCAATTCATTTTTGGCAGAATTACAATGAGTGGACATTTCCCAGCTGCTATTATTTCCTATGGTCTTTTTTGGCTTTTAGGCTTAACGTATAATTACTTCGGCGTCAACTATATGCCGCAGACAGTGGAGGAAACAGAGACTCTTTATTTTAAAAAATCCGTTATTTCTTCAGGCAGCTTTTCTGAACGAAGTCCCGTCAGAAGACTGATCTTGGATCTCTTTCGAGCCACTGCTCCTTCGAGATAAGCGTCCCTTCTACATGCCGCTCCGTCATTTTCCAGCTGAGGAAGTAACCAGAACCCACGGTCGGAGAAATATTTTCCTTTTCTAAAACGGCTCCATTTTCTGTCAATTCCGGAGAAGAAGATGAGGACGCTCTCACCCGCACCACATGATTTTGCAGATTCGGCGCTCTGGAGCCTCTCCATTTCCTGGAGACCTCGTGATACAGTAGGAAGGGCTACGGATCTCGCCGTTGTGAAAGAGGCCTCTAAGCGGCGCTGTGGCCCAGGGTGGTGCCGGCTCCAGTACAGCATTCCTCTTTACACATGATCTCGTCTCGAGCCGGCGGCGTCAGCGGCGGCTGCCTTGGCGGAGGACTAGTTCGAGCTGGCTCAGAACGGAAGGGCCAAGGGCAAACCATGTCTTCGGCCGGCGCCTGGAAGAGCCCGTGCATTCCCCGTGCGTTTAAGCAACCGGGCTTCATGGCTTGGCCTTTTCTCCCGTCAGCTGCGGCATCGCTTACTTCAGCTCTTTGTTGAAAACGGGGGATTATGTTACGACTAACTCGATCTGCAGGGAGGTGAGCGGGAAGGAAGCCAGGGAAAAAGAATGCGGGTCTATTTAATGGTGTGCTGCCTTGTTTTCTACACCGTGCGTGGACAAGTAGAGTACTCCATCGCCGAAGAAACTGAGCGTGGCGCGCCCGTCGGGAACCTAGCACAGGATTTGGGTATCGATGCGGCTAGGCTGCCCTCCCGCAGATTCCGCATGATCACCAGTTCAAGTAAGCAATATTTCAACCTGAATGTGAGCACCGGAGCTTTGTCTGTTAACGAGCGCATCGACAGGGAAGAGATCTGTGCACAAGAACCTATCTGCTCTCTGAATTACGAACTCGTGTTAGAAACCCCCCTGGAACTTTATAAACTGCAGTTTAAAATATTGGACGTGAACGATCACACTCCTACTTTTCTGCTAGGGGAATATCATGTGAATGTCGCCGAGTTCCTGGCTCCGGGAGTTCGGTTTACTCTCCCGGTCGCCCAAGATCTCGACGAAGGCATCAACAGTGTCCAGAGCTACATTCTAAGCCCCAACCAGCATTTCAAACTGGAAATGCAGACTCGTGGGGATGGGAGCCGATATCCTGAACTGGTACTAGAAAAGCCCTTGGATCGGGAGCAGCTGGCCACACACAGGCTTACTATCACAGCTAAAGATGGAGGAAGCCCCCAGAGGTCTGGAGACGCCCAGGTTGTGGTAACCGTCCTGGACACAAATGACAATGCCCCTACTTTTGAGCATTCTGTCTACAGGGCCAGCGTGTTGGAAACCTCTCCTAGAGGCACTCTGGTCACTAGAGTGCAAGCCACAGACTTAGATGAAGGTCAGAATGGAGAGGTCTTCTACTCGTTTAGCAACAGCACATCCCCTGAGCTACAGAAGATGTTCAGCATCAACCCCCAGAATGGAGAGATAAAAGTCAGTGGTGCTTTAAATGTCCAAAAGCCCCTGCTCGAGATGTTCATTGAGGCAAGGGATAAAGGAGTCTTTGGCATGTCCACTGTATCCAAACTGTTGGTGGAAATTACTGATGTGAACAACAATGCCCCAGAGATTACACTCACTTCGCTCTCCAGCTCCATCCCAGAGGATTCTTTGCTGGGCACGGTGGTAGCTCTTTTGAGTATTACTGATGAAGATCCTGGTGAGAATGGGAAAATCATTTGTAAGATTCCTGTTGACATCCCCTTCCAACTCAAGTCCTCTTTTGATAATTACTACAGCCTGATCACAAGTGGTCTTCTTGATCGAGAACAGGTCAGTGAATACAACATTACAGTCACTGCCTCTGATCTGGGTTCCCCTCCCATTGCCACTCAGAAAGCACTGTGGGTGCAGATTGCGGATGTGAATGACAATCCTCCCAAATTCCTCAACCAGATGCGTGAAATTTACATAGCAGAGAACAATAAGCCTGGGGCATCTGTTTTCCAGGTGTCAGCTTCTGATCCAGACCTCTGGGAGAATGGTCGGGTATCTTACTTTCTCAGGGACATTGACATCCAGGGCAGCTCCTTGTCCAGATATTTAGCCATTGATGCAGGCAATGGAATCATCTATGCAAAAGACACTTTTGACTTTGAGCAACTCCAAAATTTTCATTTCCAAGTAGAGGCAAAGGACAATGGCTTCCCAATTCTGACTGCTACTTTTATTGCCAGTGTTACCATCTTAGACCAAAATGACAATGCCCCAGTCATCTTGTATCCAGATGTGAGAAATGCTTCAGTGGCAGTTGAAATTGTGCCACGCTTGGCAGATACCAACTATTTAGTGACCAAGGTGGTGGCCCATGACCCAGACAGTGGGCAGAATGCTTGGCTTTCTTACCACCTTCTGCACTCTTCTGACACAAGCCTATTTCAGGTTTTACCAAATTCCGGGGAACTTAGGACTAGTCGTTCAATGAGATCTAGTGACCCCATCAAGCACAAAGTGGTGATCTTGGTGACAGACAGTGGGGATCCTTCCCTCTCCTCTACTGTAACTTTGGGCATCCTACTAGCTGACACTCTCCCACAAGCACTCCCAGACTTTGATGACAGCCTGGAAACACACGGGCAGCAGCTGTCTAGCTTGAACTTCTACTTGATCATTGCTCTGGGCTGCCTTTCCTTTGTCTTTTTTGGATTTATCATTTTCCTTTTTGCTGTTCGACTTTTCCACTGTAGGACTAACCCCTCTTGCAATTGTTGTTGCCCCACGGATGAGTATGAAAATTATCGGTACAATGTGCGCATGCTCCCAAGCTCTCATTTTACCCCAGAGATGGTTGAGATTGCAGGGATGGGGAAACTTACACACACCTATTTATATAGGGCAGCCCTAGGTGTAGGGACTAGCAATAACAACTTGATGTCCAACAGAGATGCCGGGAACCTTTCCAAGGGGGCGGGATTATTGCAAGTGCCAGCATCCTGCATTCAAGTACAGAAGGTGAAGAGTGACCATTTTAATGCCATTTTGGTGGTAAGCAGTGCTTTCAAATATCTATTGTCTCTCTTGGTATTGGGTGGGATGGGAAAGTAAATACCAAAAAGCATGTCTTGATCCAACAATGAAAATTAAGAAAATGATTTAGAGAAAAAAGGGCTGGAATGGATGTCATTTCATTTGCAGAAGGAAGATGGTTTGTCCTCCCAACATCTTGCAAATTAAAAACAAAATAAATGAAATGGGGTAGCTTGAAGTCCAATGTCCTGCAGTAACCAGTACCTAAAATGATAATCCAAAAAAACAGGATGGGCATAGGTACAGCCTATGAGCTGACAAGAGTCATGATGGAAGTGTAACTCTTCCCTCAGTATATTTTCTTATTTTTAGAAATGTTTCATAAGAAAGAGCTGGGTGTACATATTGGAGTGGGTCCAAAACAGTGTGTTTAAAGATGCTATGTATATTCAACTTGGAAACAAGAAAATTGGAGAAACCTAATTGCAATCTTCAAGTTTCTGGAAGTTTCTTGTCATATTGAAAATGAGGTAGAATTGTTCAGAGTTATTCCAAGAGAACTAAGAACCAATCGCTTTAAATTACACACACACACACACACACACACACACACACACACACACAAAATAGTAACAGTAGGGGTTATTTTTGGGAGATGCTGGAATTTTCTTTTCCTGGAGATGTTTAAACCCAGGTTGTATTATTGTCAGTTGGAAATGCTGTAGTATGGGGTTCCTTCACTGGGCAAAGAGTTGGAGTAGATGTTCTTCCAATATTTATGTTTGATTATAATGAAAAGTGCTCATTTTAATATTTATTCTTTCTGCAACAAAAGAGTCTATTTGCAAATGAGAAAAACAAACTGAAATAAGATCATTAAATTTAGGGCCTAATATTATCATTACTCTAATGACCCAGTGATGAATAGAATATGCTCCTTTATATCCCCCCCCTTTCATGATACCCTGTTTCCCCCAAAATAAGACATCCCCTGATAATAAGCCCAATCAGGCTTTTGAGCGCATGGCAATAAGATCAAGCGCTTATTTCAGGGTTCAAAAAAATATAAGATAGGGTCTTATTTTCAGGAAAACACGGTAGTACTGTTTAGAATTCTCATTAGATATTAACTGATTCCATGATAACTTTGGTTTTTCTGGTGTTACAGAGCACTGAAAAGCAACAACATGATTTTGGTATGTGCCTATCAAAATTCCTTGGTGGGAAGGGTAAGGGAGGGAAGGCAATTGGATCTACTCATTATTGGATTTATGTAACTCAGACCAACCCTTTTTTGGGATGGCTGGTGAGATTATGATAATAGAATTGATACTGGGTAGGATAGGAGATCAACCAGCAAACCTTTCAGAAGACCAGTCAAATTGCACCCAGAAACAATTACTGATTGCTTTGAAAATATTGTGTATGTGATTCAAGCATGTAGGTTCTTGTGGCCAAACAGCAAGGAAATATTTCAGGACAAGATGTTATGAGACATTGTGCAACACTCATGCTGAAGATTTAGAAGACTCTTTTCCTAATTTAAAAAAAAATGGATAGGGATAAAAATGGTTTTGACTGTATATAGCAACTGGGCTCCAATAATTTCTCTTGAAGAATAATGTAAAGAAACAGCTCTGGGGAGGATGAGTTTTTTAAATTATACGGCAAGAATCCTCCCAGCAAGAATGAAGTTGCATTTTCTAAATTAAATTCCAGAAATGGGAATGAGTTGCAATCTCAGATGAATCTAGGGCTAGGCAAACTATTATCAGAGTATTAGATCTGGACTCCCTACAGTTACAACTTTCCTAGAACTTTGGACAAAAGGTGAAATATATTTCATCAATAAAGGGCTTGAATAAAACAAAAATTAGTTGTCCTTCAGTTTTGTGTTGCCTTGGTAAGATCATGTCTACTAACACTAACTTTACAAAATTAAAACATAGCTATCTTAGGATAAAACTCAGGGCCCTTCCACATTTGCACCAATCTAGGATTGGTGGTTGCGTTTTCATCCATCAACAGAGATAAATAATATTTATTTAATATATCATTAAATAAAATCTAATAATTTTAAAACATTAATATTCTTAGTTTAACTTCCTGAAAGAGTCTGTTGTGAGCCATCCACTGAAGTTATCTTGTTGAACAAGAGAATTGCTATAATCACAACTGAAATAAGTTTGTGTAATATTCACAGAAAATATGTTAGATTACACTAGCAATAAGAATTATCCTCAGCATTGAAATGAAGGTATACATTTCATTCAAAATTTCTTTTTTATATATATATAAAAGTTTTTTGTTTTTGTTTTTTCAAACATACAAATTGCATCTTTTCGGAACAGAGCTTTGATCCGGTCATCAATTTGTTCAATTTTTTGTCATCTTTAACAAAATTTTATGTATTCTATTTTGCCATAACACTTATTTCTTAATCTTAAATCACATATTTCAACTAATACCATCTTAGAAAAAGTTTATTCATATTTACTTAATCAATATAATTATCCTTCTATTAACCCACCTTAAATCTTAATTCAATTAATACCTCATAATACATTTCACAATTCTTACCCTAAATCCTCACTATTAACAATACAGTTCAAACATGTTTATATTCCAAAATTATTTCCATTTCTAAAACTTCCTTACATTTATTTATTGCTTCATGTAATGCTCATTAAATCTTTATTCCATTATTACTTTATCAAATTTAAATCTTATCACTAATCTTAAAAATATAGCAATTTAACATTTAAACATAGTTCTTAATTCAAATAATGCTATTTATTACAGTTTCCCAATTATTTCCCTAAATTCTATATATTTAACCATATCCTTTATATAAACACCAATTAAGTAATTTTTGTTTGTAAATCATAATCATATATTATTTCAATTTTCTTTTTTTTGCTTAAGTGAAAAATGTTCAAATTATTACAATTGTTATACATATTTAATTAATATCCCAATTATTATAGCTATCAATTTTCTCAAATGATACCGTCCAACATCTTAATAAAAATTGATACATTATATCCATTGATATATTTTCTTTTTACATAATCTAATTCAACCTTTTATCATTCCACTGTTAATCCCAGTGTAATCATCTTTATGCCACTGTTAATCCCAGTGTAATCATCTTTATTTTTTTCCCTGTTAATCCCAGTGTAATCATCTTTATTTTTTCACTGTTAATCCCAGTGTAATCTCTATAAATATTTAAACAATATCCCAATTATTATAGCTATCAATTTCTTCAAATAATATCATCCAACATCTTAATAAAAATTGCTTCATCATATCCATTAATATATTTTCTTTTAACATAGTCTATTTCTCATATATTTTAACTTCAATCCATATTTCATTTCTAAGTATCTGTAACATATTTCTTCTCACATTTATTAATCTCAATATAGTTTTATAAATCCAAGTCCTGGACTTTTTTATTTTCCTTAATATTTTCCAACCTTTTATTCTTTTATCATTCACTGTTAATCCCAGTATAATCATCATTGTGTTATTGTTAATCTCAATATAATCTCTAGAGACCTCCTTTTTATTATTACTATTCACATGTTCAGTTACTTATTCATATTTAATCACATTGTCTTTATCTTCTTTATTCTCCACCTATATATCTTATTCCTCCATCTTCATTTTCTTGTCCATTTGTATATACTCCATTTCAACTTCTGTATCCTCAAATTTTTGTCCTCTGTACAACATTATAATTATTTCTCTTATTTCCATTGTCCAAGTCTAGATCAATTTGTTCCTTCTCTAATTCCTGCACCATTTTTCTTTTTAAATTAATATTATTCCAATTATAAGAGTTCCATTGTGTTCCCTTCTTTTTATTTTTTATTTTTTCTCCAAAAGTCAAACCACTTGTAGACAAGAAAATCCTCCCCCTCAAGTTCTCACGGATGTTATCTGTAAAGTCCACAATTTTCCAAAACAAAAACCAAGCTGCAATATTCCTTTTTACTCCAGATGGTGTCTCTCTGCAATCCACAATTTCCGGTTGTTTAAAAAGTATCCATTTTGTTTCAATTACATAACAGTCTTATTTAGCTTCTCTTTTTCTTTTAGGTTTAAAAGTACCAAATCATATTTAAAGTCCAGTCTAAATTTAAATATCTTTTCTCACTTCTTTCCTCCCCCCTTTCCCCCTTTTATTTGTACATCACTTCTTTTTTAAAGCTTATTATCCATTCTCTTTATTTTTTTTTGAAATTTAAAAAGAGAGAAGGGGAAAAAAAGGATCTCTTTATTTCTTTCCAATCCTTTGACCATTCTCAAATGTTTTAAGGTTTCCAAATAGTTTGTTTAAAAATCTATTTTCTATCGGATATTCGTCTCTTTAAAGTTACGTTTCAAAATCTTCTTTGCCCCCATGCTCCTTAGTCGTTATTTATCATTAGGGGTCTTATAATTAAAAGATGTTTCCCTTGTTGTTATTTCATGCCTGGGTTGGCTGTCACTCACCTGGCTTCAAAAAACTCTGTTCCGTTCCTCTTCTTTCTCCAGCTCTATACTTAGTCCGGTCATCCCAGCTTCATGGCAGCTGCCATGGCTGCCATCCCCTGCTGTCGAGTCACAGAGAGTTCCTTCCGACCTTCGAGGAACTTGCCTGTACTTCTTGGTCGTCCGAGGTGCCTCTCTTTCTTCCCCGTCCCTGCAGGATGGTTCTGGTCCGCAGACCCATCGGCAGCAGTTCATCAACTGGGGTTTTCGCGGAGCTCATCGGAGCCCGCTAATTCCCCAACTGTCTCGCCGTGACGCCAAACTGGAAGTCTCATTTCATTCAAAATTTCATTCAAAGAGAGCCACTTTGGTCTAGTGATTAAAACATCAGGCTAGAAACTGGTTTAGCCTTAGGCATGAAACCTGGCTGGGTGACTCACCTCACCTCCCAGGGATGTTGTTATGGGGAAAATGGGAAGGGGAAGGAGTATTAGATATGTTCACTGCTTTAACTTTGAAAGTAATAAAGATAGGCT